CAGATTAACCTTCCACTGCCTCTAGGGAACCCTCTAAGGCTATAAGTATTGAAGAGGTGCCAACCTGCATTGGCAGAGGGAGTTTCCTATGCCCACAAAATCACAGGTCTATGAGCTCTTTGAGAGCAGGGACTGTCTTCTGCCTTTCTTTGTATTCCTATCACTTAGCACATAGTAGGTGCTTAATAAATGTTTATGGACTCACAGATGACTAGAAGGTAGAGCTTGGCGCTAAGGCTGCCCAGCTCTGGCTTGATCCAAGGAATTAGTGTACTCAGGAACTCTGGTGGTGGGGATCCAGGAGTTGTTACTGCTGTACCATTTCTAATCCTGGGATCATGGGGTTCCCTTGTGATTTGCCCTTTCAGGAGCCAGTGTGGTGTGGTAGAGTAGATAGAGCCCCAGATTGGAGTTAGGAGTCATGTGACTCTGGTTAAATTACTTAACCTCTCTCACCCTCAGTTTCCTCATCAGTAAAATGGGATTAAAGAGTACTGTAGCTGTGAAGATAAAATGAGATTATATACATATTTGTGTGTGTATGTATGTGTATATAGAGAGAGAGAGAGAGAAAGAGAGTTGCAGACCTTAAGGAACCATACAAACGTAAGCCCACTAGGAACCCTCCCCTCTGTTGCTGCTGCTGGGACCAAGAAGCTGGGGACTGGGCGGGGGGAAGAACTGTGTAGAGAAGCAGGTTCCCCATTCTACTCCCCACCCTTCCAGGTCTCCCCACCTCCTTTCTCCCCATGTAATATCATTGCTATAATAATCTTATTAAATAAGATCAAATGAGATATTTGTAAAGCACTTAGCACAGTGCCCAGCATATAGTAGGTGCTTAATAAATGTCTGTTTCACTCCCATCCTTCTCCTTATATATAGATCTGGTCATGTCACTCCTCTGTTCAAAAATCTTTGGTGGCTCCCCCCCCCATTTTTTTTTTTAGGCAATTAGGGTTAAATGACTTGCCCAGGGTCACACAGTTAATACATGTTTGAGGCCACATTTGAACTCCAGTCCTCCTGAATCCAGGGCTGATGCTCTATGCACTGTGCCTACCTAGCTGACCCATTTGCCCAAGGAGTAAAATACAAATTTCTTTGCCAGTCATTCAAGGTCCTTTGCAAACTCCTCTCCAAGCACACTGTCAAATTGAACCAACATGAGATCCCAATATTCCTTTGCTTTCCTCATTTCTATGCCTTTGCTCATGCCACTCCCTTAGTAAGAAGCTTTCCCCATTAGAATGCAGAGAACACCATTTTATAACTTTCAAAGGCAGGAAGTCCATGGACCTGGATAGATTTCAGGAGGTCTGTGAACTTGGATGGGAAAGAAATTACATCTTTATTATCACTGACCTCTAACTGAAATTTAACATTTCCTTCAATTATTTAGAGACTTTCTTCTGACTAGAGGTCCATAGGCTTCACCAGCCTGCCAAAATGGTCCAGGACCCACAAAAAAGGGGTAAGAGCACTGCTCCAACGGGTTTCTCATAGACCACTCTGTATTCTTATCTGAATGTCAAATCCTCCCACTAGACCGGGTCTTAACCTATGAATTTGTTTTTTTTTTTAATAGTATGATAACTATTTCATTCTGATTGGTTTCTTTGTAATTCTACATATTTTGTGTTATACATTTAAAAACATTATTCTGAGAAGGAGACCATAGGTTTCACCAGATTGCCAAAGCAATCCAAGACACAAAAAAAGGTCAACCCCCTAGCTAGATGTGAGGCCCAGAAGGGCAGGGACTCTTGTCTTACCTAAACTGCATGTCTGCACACAGTAAGACATTTAATGTATGTTTATATAAACCACAGAAAAATCCTCCCCCTTGCTGCCTGGAGTTTGCAGAAACTAGAGATTTTGGAAGAAAAGAAAGAGGTGGGAGTTGGGAAGGAATTCCCTGGTCTGGTCCCTAGATCAGAATTCCCTGGATGGCCAGCAAACCTAGAGGAAAGGGAACAGGGACTCTGCTTGGGGAGCAGATCTCTTAGCTCAGGGAGGGAGGGAAGTAGGGACTGGAGCCTCCAACTTAAGGTCAAGGTTCAAAGAAGTTTAGAAAGGGGTGAACAGGGAAAGAAGTTTAGAAAGGGTGAACAGGGAAAGCCCTTGGTCTTTGGGAAGCTGAGGCAGGTCATGGGGTACTGTCAAGCTCCCTGAGTGGGGGACTGTGGGAGCTGTTTTAGGTGTTTTATTAGCACATTTGCTAATTTCTGATTAAAGGGTCTGCTTTGCTCTGAGCCAGCCCAGTACCCATCTATTAGCAGCCAGCTAGAGTGGTGTCAGGGAGCTCCTGCCAGGAAGCCAATTTAATTTGTAACCGTGGGCCCAACCATACGGGAGAAAAAAAAAAAAATCTGACAAAGGCTGGTCTCCAACATGGGCCAATCCTCTTGTCTCTTAAGAAATTTATTACTAGGGACCTAGGGAAGGACAGCTTCTGAGAACGAGCCCTAGACTTAAATTTTAGGGAAGAGAAAACAGACATAGTACCTGGAGTAGGGGGCAAGGTAAGCGTCCCAGATCTATCCCTGTCTGGACCTGTTATGCAAATCTCACAACAGGCAGTGTAGTCTGATAGAGTGCTAGACCTACTATCAGAAGGACCTAGGTCTCAGATGCTCATTTTGTGACCACAAGCAAATCACTTTACCATTCTGGGCCTCATTTACCTCATCTATAAAATAGGAATGAAGCTTGTAGTACCTATTTCTCACATAGTTGCGACCGAAGATCAAAGAAGATAATAGATATGTCTTCGTTGCCTAAATATGAATTATTGTTATTATTATTATTATCCTTTCCCTCCCCTGGGACCCTGTCTCTGAAATGAGGGGGTTGGACTCTGCCTCCCAGATCCGACATTCTGTGTTCTCGGGGCTTTATCAGCTCTAACCTTGTATTTCTAAGTTCCCTCCCAGTTCTAACATTTAATCTAAGGTCTCTTCCAGCTCTAAGACCCTGTTATATTCTTTATATCAACACTAGGAGATAAAAACTGCAACATAGGGAGATGTCTCAAGCTTTTTTTTTTTACAGGAAGGGGGGTGCTGGCAGCCAGTTGAGATGAGATGAGGGTGAAGAGACAGATGGGCTGTAATTTAGGGGGTTGCCTGATCTAGGAAACAGGGATCAGGGAAATGTGCATGAGAGAGAGAACTTTGGGCTGAGAGTCTGGAGACCAAGTTTCTCACCACATCCCCCATTGCTAACTTTTATATTGTGACCTAGGAGGAATACTTTACCCTCCTCAAGACTATCTGTGGTCTGTGAAAACATGATACTAGAAAACCTGCAGGTCTGATTTTCTATGTTCCTATGAACTAAGGCATTGGGGTGACCGAATTCTGCCCCAATCAGGAAGGGAGAGGGAAGGAAGAGAGAAAAAAAGAAAAGGGCAAGGGAGAAAGGGGGAGGAGGGAAAGGATGGAGAGGAAAAGAAGAGGAAGAGGG